AAAAAAAAAAAAAAAAAAAAAAAAAGAAAAAAAGAAAAAATGTCTGTCTAGAGTATATTTAAAAAAGTATAGAAATGAAAATTTAGTCCACGTGCCTGTCGAGATAAATTAAACGAATTGCATTTTGTTCAACTTGAACCGCGGTTACTTCGAAACGAACGGCATCTCAGAGTACCAAAGATACTCGCTTCAGTTTCAGAATAACTAACCTAAATTCTATTTGTCTACTCTTTCCTTTTGTCTGATCTATGCGATCTCGAAATCAATCGAATATTTATACTGGGCGTGTTTGCCAGAAACGACCGTTTGAAATTCATCGATCCTATCGTCTCGTGTGGACGAAACAGCGCAGGGGAGGAAGCCAGCTTCTTACCAGAGCTCCTTCGCTTCGAACATTCTTCGTCTGAATAGTTTTCGATGCGACATTGTAAACACCATCGAATATTCAGAACACGTTTCTGACGCAACAGTTAGAAATCTGTTGACAAACATTTTCAGTGAAGAATCGCGGGTCGAGAGCGAGATGTAGGCAAGCCTTTCCAGCGAATCTACTCGACGACGCAACATTAACCCCCCCTGGTATTCGCGAACCAGATACCCAAATACTTATTCCAACGACGAGATCTCTCTGGCAAATCGATTCGTTATTCATCTGACACTTTGCACGAGATATATTTCTCCCGTTTTCTCTTCTCTGTTTTCATGTTTACAAGTGAATGACGTTCCACGTCAAAGGGAAATAGAAGGGAAATCGATGTCAAAAATGTAGCGTATCCCGCGTTCGATATTGTTAATCTTTTGACATTCGTACACGAGGTATTTCACGTGAAAAGTTTTCCACCTACTCGACTTTTTCGGTGATATGCCTCGGAAACGCGATGTCGTTGCAAAAATCTCGCACGTGATAGAGTTTTCTCCTTCTCGATTCAATCTTTCGACATTCGAAACGGAACATTGCACGAAAGAAAAGAATTTCCGAATGATTAACACTCGTATACCCCGGATGTCCCGACATAATAATAAATATCGATCTTTCACGGAAAACCTAGGAAGTTTAAAATACGCTAAAAAATGAGCGAATTGGACTGTGAATTTTTCGAAATATTCTATAAAAGTGGACATAAAAGATTCGTACAAGTGAACAATAAATTGGACAGTTGATACGTAAACAAGTAACGAACTTTTGCAGGCTCACGTTTTTTTGCTACGACAGGTATATGAAGCCGGATTCGCTTCTCTAACTGCCTCATACAAGCGAAATAGCATTGAAACTCGTATCGTGACTCTTGAACGCTGAAACAGTAGTTGTACTTTATCATTTCTGCAACTGTAGTTTCACTCTGGACGTTTTCAAACTCTAACAGGGAGCGTTAATACGACCCTGGCAAGGATCCATTATTCGTTTCTTCTGACATGCACTTTCCGCATACGAGTACCACTTTAAAACAACATATTGCATCGATAAACTTTCTTTAAACTATTAGCTTCGTTTAAAACAACGCGACGACTAAGAAAAGGACATTCTATAATTGAATGTTATTTTATTATATAATTGAATGTTATAGTTTGAAAATGAAAAGCGAGCTATGTTCGTCGACACAACAATGCAGATGAATATTCGCTTGATAAAAATATTTCCCACAAATAGCTAACTTCGCGACATCTTTCTGCAAAAAATTTCATTCACTTGTAACGAAATGATTTCTTCATCCATTTATAACGTGATATTTCACAATGACCAACGTGAAAACGTCAAAGCGAAATGCGAAAATTAATTTAATTGTTCTCAATAATCAACTCGTTATAATTTAAACTTCGTTAAATAAATAAAACCAGGACGGAAAAATCTCGTTGCGAAAATATCCTTTATGCAGCTATTTGTTATTTTAACTGATGCCTTCAAAAATAAAGTTTAGGATCGGAACAAGAAATTCCCCACCCCCCGAGGAAAAATTTATCTTTTATAAGAATCGTTGCAAAGTTTGTATTAATATAGAAATGAATTTCTCTTATAAAACTTTGAATACAATATTTTCAATAATTTGCGAAAAATCTACTAATTAATATCCTGGCAATGATCTGTTGATTAATTATCCTACTAATTATAATATTTTTCTCGAGTTAAAAATGATTCGCGAAATTTTATCAAACGATAACACCTCGGGCTAGTAATAAGGTCCCGTAACGCTAATCGGACTAGACTCGAAAAACGTAAAAAAAAAAAAAAAAAAAAGAAAAAAAAATCAGACGTATTGTAACGAACGTCTAGCATT